TAGAGTTCCATTTCTTGTCCCCTTTGGAATTTGCGCTATTAGTGGAGTATTTAAAAGACGGAAATTCTCATTTCCTTTAAAAGTCATCTTCATGCCGAATACCGCTTTCACTGACACTGCCTTTGTGAACCAGTTTTTCTCCCTGCTGTATAGCACATTTATAATTTCTTATTACTCTTCCCTGAAGAGCTTTACCAGACTTTCCCCATAACAAGTGTTCTTAAATTCTCTTCTTCATTTGTAAGCAATTTGCTGTTGTTTCTGCTGTGTTGTCCCTCTCAGCTTATTCCAAGAAGAGCCAAAATGTGTCAGAGTGTTTTAATTTTTGTGAATTACAAGAAAAATCAGAGGTTGCTATTTAAAAAACCCCAAATCTCTGTATATTAAGAAAAACAATGTCAGAATGCACCTTTTAGATGATGCCTGTGTTAAAAGTTTGAAGCAGGGTTGTTAATTTTTAGTGAAGCAAACCTAAACAGTTCAATTCCCAAGTCGTCTATATTGTCACCTTATTATTTAGAATTTTGAATGCCAAACACCTCACTAATATTTTAGTATGCTAATATAGCAAAATTCAGTAAGGAATACTTTAAAAAAAAGATATAGTAGTGTGTAACCAGCTGTCAAAAACATCTTTGTTTTGGAAAGTTGGTTCACAGGTATTTTCAGTGAGAACTTGAACTCAGAACAAAGCACTGAAGACACAGTGGAGTTCAACCCAGTGCAGCATAGTTCTTTTCAAGTATTATATTGTTTTAATGGCATCTTGGAGCGGGAGCTTTAGCCCATTGAAATGTCGCTTAAAGGACAGGTTCTTCTGTCACTAGCTGGAGCTCTGTGGATGAAATGATCACAATAGAGTGTTGTAATGCATTTTAAAAGTGTGAGAAATCAGTTTGTCTAGACTAAGAGTGCGCCTACAGGGAATAGGAATTTTAGAGCTTCTGTGCTCTTTAGGTGTCAAGTATGTGATAGATGCCAAGCCTTTTTATTCCATATCTTTGGCAACAGCTCAGCTATGCTACAGTACCTTACATGTCTACAGCAAGCAAAAACAGTGATTTTATGTCAGGACAACTTGGGCTTCAGAAATCAGAAACTCATTGTCCTAACAACTGTCTGTTCAATTGCCAGCTTGAAAATGGGGAAGATATCAATAACAATTGCTAGATTCCCAGAAGGCATGGAAACCTTAGCTATAACGATTCAAAGTATGAAGAGCTAGCAACACCGTGTAGATATTTTAGTTTCAGAAAGTACGTAGGTTTTAGTTTTCACCTTGAAAAGATTTTTGTGGGATGAATCCTATATTATTAGTGAAATAACTTTGATTTGGAGCCAACTGAGTGCCCGAAAAAACATAGCTTGAAGGGACGTATGGTTTGTCTGGGGTTTTGGTTTTATTTTCATCCAGATGAATAAGTCTAGCCATTTCTTTACTATGGTTACCTCATAAATATAGCATTTCCTGGGTTTTAATACTCTTTTTAGACTGTATTCTGTATGCACTAATGTGTGGTGTTTTTATGATTCTCTGGTGTGGAAGCTTCAAAAGAGGAAATTGTGTATGTCCATTATGTTATTTAACATAGTGTCGTATTTTAATAATGCCAGATAGTTCTGGAACAATTCAAAAAACTCTAAATCTGAAGCATAAAATTCATCATGGGCATATGAGTTGCTGAGAGTAATGATAGTTAAAAAAATAAAATTTGTAATTTTGGGCTATTTTGAAGCTTGCATATTTTGAGGTGTTTAGTGATAACAAACACAGAATTTTCACATGTAGCAGATTATTTCAGAGGGGGAAAATACATTTTTGGTGAATATTCTTACATTTTCTCAATAGGCATGTTTGTTAAATACAGAAATGAAGGCTAATATAGTAGCCTATTCCCATAAACAGGCAAGCTGAAACATTGAAACCAAACTTTACTACAGGTAAAAAAACCTTTTTTGTTAAACAAAGCACTTTGCCAATTCAAATAAGAAAACTTTAAGCTATTTCCTTCTAAACCTTTAAGCTTCAGCAGTTAGAAATGCCAGTCTGTCAGGAGGTGTTTTACATATGTATTGCAACATTCCAGTCACTGGTAGTGTTTCTTTTTCATATCACTGCTAGACTCATATTAAAAATAAACATTACTTGGTCCTAATTAAATAATTTATAGTGGAATTGTTAAGATATTTTGACAGTTTCTTTTGGTAGTCTGGGTAGAAATGTCAGAAGTTGGAAAAGCAGCATGCATGCTTGTTTGTTTTCCCTGCTGTTCTGATTTCAAATACAAGTCAAATGCTTTAAGCTTTCTTCCTTGTGTAGTTTTGAGGGACTGATCTCCCAAAATTTATTTTCTGAAGTAAAATGAAAAATGGGACTTGCCTCATTTCAAAGCATGATCTGGTGACAGCACCAAGAGCTTCTAAGCTTGCCACAAAACAAGATCCCATAAAGTTAGTAGCTACAGACATGTAAAGCCACAGTGTTCTATTTAAACTTGTTTGCCTTTTAATTCAAGTCATGGCAGTACTGGCAAGATGACTTCAGTATGCCCAATGTTTTGCTGCACTTTTTTTTTTTTTCCTCCCACTTTTTCCAGTTTACTATTTGTTCCTGGAGGGAGGAGGGGAGGGCAGGGAGGGAGACCAAGGAGCTCCCAATGGCCTTTTAAGTATGTAAGGAACTGGAGTAGTTTAGGATCCTTAGAGATGGATTTGATGTTTTATTTCACTCTTAGTAGGGTGAACTGACAGGTTAATTTTGTGTAATTACTGTTTAGTTTTTAGCGAGAAAGTTCACTTTGATTATATCAGATGTTGCTGAGGGTAATTTTTCACAGCAGTTCTTGTGAGATTTTTCCCTGTCTTATTCTTTGTTAAAGTCAGTTAATGTTTCTAGGCAGTTTTTTGTCATCTTTCAGTTTTTATCTTTGTTAGGTTTGTTTGTTGAGGGCTCACAGCCTTCATAGAGGAGGGCATCCTGCTACAGACTATATACAATGGTATATACAATGTTACAAACCTTTCTTTTCTTTGAAGGTTGAAATCTCCTCAGTCCTTTTGGTCTTCACAAAAATGCTGAAGACTGTTACCAGTATAGAATGTTCCTCTCTTCATCTTGAACATCAACTGAAGAATTGACTCTCAAAAGCTGATATTTCTAGCTGGCAATGCCAAGGGAGTCAATTTTATGTAATAAATAATGGTTAGAGAAATAAAAGAGCTAAATTCTAGTACCTGCTAGACTGCTCTGCAGTCTGAAACAATCAATAGATTATTGTGCAGAAGATAACTACTGCCTCTTGCTTCCTGCTAAGCATAGCTTCTTGAGTGAAAGTAAATGTTGGTGCTTCTAAGTTATTGTACAGACTTAAGCCCACACAAAAGCACTCACACTGCGTCACATAGCTGGTTGGCTAGGATTTTGGTGAATAGTTCTGTTCATATGAAGTTTAGGCTCCTAATGGTAATGTAAAATTTTGGGATTTGTCGGTGTCTCAGTCTGTGCTCTAATGTTTTCCTTCAGGTAGAAAGAAGTGTTTATACATTTCCACATCTTTAGGTGGTACAAGTTGGAGCAGTCCTGACTTTGCGGCTGTGGTCAGAGGATGGGAGAGAATGTCCTGTCCCTCCTCTGGCACTAGCAGTTGCGTAGCTGGGCGATGAGCAGGTTTGGAAAACTGGTCCATGCAAAATCTAATTCAGCCAGCGGAAACAGTATGATAGCAGCCCCAACGTGTATCAGCTTCACTTCTATACAGCTGGACTCATAACACACATTTCTGCATTTTTTTCTTTTTTGTAACTTATAAGAGAAAAATAAAGCATTAAATTGTGTAAAAAGCATAAGCTGTGTTATTTTACCAGCCTTTTACGCGAACCCTTTTTTAACAATTTCCATTGTGTTTTTCATAGGATATCACCACTTTAACTGGTGTTCCAGATGAGCACATCAAAACCAGAAAAGTTCACATTTTTGTTCCAGCACGTAATGCAATGCAGGCAGGAGTTAACAATACAAAGAAATGGAAGATGGAATTTGATAACAGGGAGCGCTGGGAGAACCCTTTAATGGGCTGGGCATCTACGTGAGTAGTTACTGAATTTGGCAATACTTCTATATTTGTCTCGTACTAGTCATGTAAATTTTAAGTTTGAAATGTTCTTTCTACCTGTAAATCTACTTGTGTTTTAACATTACTTACAGTAAGTGGTTGGGTTTCTTAGTTGTATATTAATGATCTGTTACACTTAAAAGCAGATCTTAGCTTACAACATCATCTGGAAGAGTTTGAAAAAGGCGTTAACAACCAGAAATTTCAACGATTACGTTTGTGGTGATGTTACTGCATTGGCAGCATCAGGGAAAGAAGGTTATTTGTTACCTGAAGCAGTAAACCCTTTTCTGCTCTCAGTTGCATCTTTTAAATTTGGTTAAATGTGAAATAAGAATACTTGGCATCTGGATTTTTTTTTTGTACAAAGTCTTATAAGTATCCTGAAGATCTGAAATGAGGAGCCATAACTAATTTAAACATGTAAAATATTACACTGTTTGCTTCAATGTTGCTAATATTAGTAGTAAAAATTCTTAAATAGGCCGAAATTCAGAAAAGTACTAATCTTAGCTAAATATGCTGTAATTTGTAGCTGTAAGTATAACTTGGATGCAGCTAATTTTTAATTATTTTTTCCCCTATATGAATATACTACGTATATTTTACAGTGCAGTTAGAATTCCTGTAATCTGTGAGGACTATGCCAGCAATTCTCTTGACAATATTGTAATTTTGATTTGAACCTGTCTTATTTGAGGCATATTCAGAAAAGTTAGTTATTCTATATAAACAAAAATCAACCACTAGAGGTTCCTTTTGAGACTTCAGAAAGGATACAATATATATTGAAAATGTCTGCAATCATATTAGCACATAAGATCAAAGAACACAAAATTTGCTGAAAAAAAGCCTTTTTTTGAGATTTATTAACATTCTAAATCTGGTCACAGAATTTTTTTTCTTTTTTTAAAGTATTTTATTTATAAAATAAATGTATCCAGAAATACTAATTCAAAGTAACTCTGAAATAAAGTCTTCCTGTTATGTTGGTTTCCATTAAAAATTGAGGACTCTCACAACCTGTAACGTATCGGTTGTATTGGTATTGCAAAGCATTAGGGAAGCCAAGCTCAACTATCACTAGATGAAAAAAATACTGAATACAAATTCAAATTGTATTAAAATAGTGAGTTAAAATATCTGTTTTAAAACTTTAAGCTGGATATAACAATGACCTCATCTTAAGCACGTCCTGGGGTTTTTCACGATTTTTGTCTTAAGCATATTTAAATTGCTGCTTAAGAGGGTAAGATTTCAATAATTTAATACACGTATGCCTTATATGATGTGACTGCTGCAAGTAGCTACTACATTTAGCAAGTAATGACCAGGTTGTTTCGTGGGGTCCAATCTAATTAAGTGATAGACTGTTGACCGGCAATACACCTTTCCCTCCTGTCTTGTGTGTCCCCCAAGTGTCTAGTCACTGAAGTATGGTCTATTTATATCACTCCACAGATCATTACACTGTAGCAGGTGCTGGTAACACCTGCTTTGTTTCAGATTGTATTTAGCTTTCCTTCTAATCCCCCTTTGCTTTTCAGCTGACTTTAACCTCCCCAGACAAATTATTTTCTGGGTGGGATTTTGCATTATCTCAGCCAAAACAATGGCTTTTAACCTTTCTAACAGTTATAACCATTTGTGCTAAATAAACCACCTAGAAAAATGAGGCATGGTATTAAGGGCTTACCTGTGTGTTAAATTGTCCTGGAGAGAGTTTGTTGTGGAAATTTAACAATAAATGGCTGTTTTGAGTGAGTTCCTCTCTGAATGTGGTTTTATTTTGGAGTAAGGAAAGATTTCCTGTTTAAGCAAGCTCCAAGTAGGCCAAAAGCAAATGCTGTGTTGAGAATTGACACTGCTAGGTTAAGGGCTTTGTAAACTAGTTTGTATCTGTTAATTTTTTTAAGAAATTCTCACAAAGACTGTTAGTGAACATTCTGGTAATTTCAAATTACCATTCAACACCCAGGAATATCTACGAAGAGATTCTTCTCTTCAGATTTAATTTCTGCAACGAACAGTTCTTAGAAGTTTTCCCATTTACTTTTGAATAATGTAATGAGATTGGTGGATTAGAGCCCTTTAGGGTCTAGGGATCAGAACCCTTTTCCTCTGAACTCAATATACTTATTTACCTGTAGGTCTCTGCTATACTTGGATATATGTATATCCATATATGTGTATAAATATATGTGTATATATATATATATGTAAAATGCTATACTGTAATTTTACAGTCTTATTTGCTTTTTTGGTTGCATTGGTTTTCTATTGGATAGTTTTTTCTGTGAAAATTATCAAGTTGTAGATCTAAAAAAAATGGATCCATGGCATTTTTTTTTTTCAATTGTGAGGTTTCATAGGAGGAATGTCTATGGATAGTTCTTGAGTACATCTTTTAATATAAAGCTGACAACAAAGAAACATGGGAAATGCATGATTTCTATTGTACAAGATCTCATAAGAGAACAAAATGTGGAATCCCAGTTTGTAGTGACTGGTAAGACAGCTTAGGGCAGGCATACAAAGTTGCCTGCTGTCATAACACTGTCATGAAATCATGCTGGTCATCCTGAACTCCAGTTTGCTCACTGATTATCACACACTTAAATGCATGGATAACTCATTTGTGGGAAGAAATCAAAAAGCTATACTTAGATTGGATAAAAGATGATCCCACATGAAAACAAGAACAAATAATTTCTGCACGATCCTCATTTCCGAACTGCCTCTGTCCTAGAAGGTTTTTCGCTAACTTGCAATACTGAAAAGACACCAGTGCCTCCCTACACTTCAGACTAAACCTTTGATCCCACTTAGTAGTGTTGAGAAGATTTTTCCAACCCCATTTGTGGAAGAGAAGAACGATAAGCCAAAGTCTCACAATGTTGCGATATATTTGGGCCAGTTGGTTCTCCACTGATGACATGATGGAGTAATTCTTAGTTCTTAATTCCTTGCTGCCTTTATAAGAGAAATCTTTAAATGTCTTTAAGAGAGCCTATCTTAGTCGTTTGTGAAAGTGTAATTTCTGCCTTTACTCTGTTTGGGTTTTTTTGTGTTGTTGTTGGGTTTTTTGTTGTGTTGTTTTGGTTTTTTTTTTTATTGGGAAATATACTGGATATATAGTGAACTCCCCTTTTCCATGTGTACATCAGATAAAATTACATTGTTGTCTTTGCTGGAAGCTAGATTCCCTCTCTTCCCCTCCCCCTCTGCAAGTCACAGACTTTGTCCTTTATTGTAGAGAGTTGCATGTATTTTTGGTTGCTTTTTCTCTTCATTTACCCTTCTAGCTTAAAAGAGAGAACAGTTGAGAGGCAGCTCCTTCAGTAGCTTCTTGCAAATTGGTCTTGTCTTCCCAATTGTCTCCCAGACTCATGTGCAGTATTGTCTCAGGGAAGCATTATCAAATCATTGTGCTGCTACAATCAATATCTTATTTCTCTAAAAGTTTTGTAGATTAATTTTTAGAACCCATTTTGTTCTTAAATTGAGCTTCTATAGCAACAAATAAGACAGTTTGGTTTTTTAACTGAGATTTTAATTTGTTTCAAAAAGCTGAGCTCTCAAAGTTTTTTACATACCTTTCAGTCTCTGATTAATTCCTGCTCTGCTCGCTTTGATATTCTGCTCTTTTCTGTATAAGATTATTATTCCCCTACTTGCTCTAGACTTCTGATCCCCTTGAAGTGTTCAAAATTACCTTAAGCCTCCTGATCTTCCAAAAGAGAGAGACTACACAGCTGTAAAAATTAAAAAGATTGTTGCAGACCACTTGCCTAACCACATGGTGAGGTTATGTTTGTCTAATAAAAAAAATTAAAACATTAATTTCTACAAGGAGTTGGGAGGAACGTTTAACAGACTGAAAGAGTGGACTAATATTCTGTAGAAAGTAAGTGTTAACCCTGGAAATAATTAAAAATAAAGCAATGTTGAATGTTTTGTAAGGTGGTATACTACAAAAAGTTGTGTAATACAGCATTTGACTAACACTTGAGATTCAGATACAATTATTTTGTGTTTGAAGTGTGTTTAAAATTTATTATCTGATTTCTTACAGAGCTGATCCTTTATCCAACCTGGTTCTTACTTTCTCTACTAAAGAAGATGCCATTGCCTTTGCTGAAAAAAATGGTACGTATTATACATATTGAGTATGAGGGATTCAACTTTCTACAGGCAATCTTGATCTCAAAATATTACTAATAGAAAAAGTACGGGATAAAGTACCTTCCCTCTGTTCCACAAAACTGTTAGACCATTAGTGCTCTACCTGGCTTGGGGGAAAATTAATATTAACACTTTAAGAGTGTCCGAGGCTGAGGTCCCAATTACATGACAGTAGGATTTTCCTGAAGGCTTGACACGAGGACCTGAATTCTATTTAAGGAAAGACTGTCAGAACCCTTGTGCATGTTAAATAACCAGAAAAAACTAAAAGTAAGTGAATACCTTGTAACCAGGTTGGACTTTAGTTTTGGCCGTGTTACAGAATGGATTTATCGTAGAATCATAGAATATCTCACCTTGGAAGGGACCCATAAGGATCATGAAGTCCAGCTCCCTGCTCCTTGTAGGGCTACTTAATCCTAAACCATATGACTAAGAGCATCATCCAGATGGTCCTTGAACTCTGACAGGCTTGGTGCTGTGATCATTTTCTGTGAGAGCCTGTTCCAGTGATTGACTACCCTCTTGGTGAAGGACCTTTTCCCTAACATCCAACCTGAACTTCCCCTGACGCAGCTTCATTCTATTTCCTTGTGTCGTATTGCTGGTGACCAGAAAGAGATCAGTACCTCCCCTTCCCCTGCCCACCTTGAGGAAGTTGTAGATCTAACTTTTCTCAAGTACAATACTAAAGTTTAAACACATACACTTGATGATCATATTTGAGAAAAAGACATTTTTAATGCTAATGACGTGTCAGAAGGACCGTATCCATAACCTTACTTGGTTATTTAGGTTTGTATTTTCTCACAGGATTATGGTACCAGAAGCAGTATACACAATCTCAGCCTTTTTGAATATTCAGCAGTCCTTTTATTTGTTGTATGAATTTTTCACTGCATTTTTTAAATCAATTTCATTTTCCTTATAGAGCTAGGCTTGATACTTAGTGCTCATGGATGTGAGGAAGATTAGTGGGACTGAGTTAAAGCCAGGAATAATGCATATGGAGTGTAAGCTGCTTCAGAAGTCTTCCCTGTGGTCTACAGCTTTCAACTCTGTTTAGTCTGGGATAAATAGATAGTAAAGTTTCTTGGTAAGAGTAAATTGTGCAAAGTAGTTAGATGCCTTATACCACATACCCAAAAAACCAGTATAAGTTCATTAACTTAAACAATTAAGAATCTGAACCATTTAATATGCAATTTATTTATACTTTTTAATGGTAAAGGCTAGTATATAATTTCTCTATTCCTCTTCGAATGGATCTTTTTAACTAAATAATTTTATTGAGAAATAAATTGCATTAACTAAGAGATTAATAGCACCATCATATTTGCGTTGGATATACCAATTACTGTACAATTTTAATAGTATTTTGTGACTTTTTTGAACAAATAGGAAATTTCAGAGAATCTGGTGTTGCTTTACTCATACTTCTGTATTGTTCATGCTATTTCTGTTTCTTGGGAAATTCAGCTTATAGAGAAGACACCTGAATCCTGGCCTCTATATAACTATATTAATTAGCTATTTATGTCATCTCTTTGTACACATTATGCTTTGTCTTTTTGAAATGCAGATTGAAGTAAAGTGCTTGATTTGTTCAGTGTTGAAATTTATGCCTTCACTGAACTAGTAATGAATCTCCATTGTGCAGGAACACTGCAAAGAAATTCTACCAACTAAGCTAAGACTGTGACTATTCAATATTCACTTAGCTTACACCCTTAATTTTATCATAATTGAGATGTACCAGACTTTTCTGCAGGTGCTGGCTTTCCTAAAGTATTATTCCATTTTTATTTAAGGTGGCTCAATTTTATGCATTTGATATGGACATAATGTTTTCTGTAGTAATAGCTTCAGTATCAGATGTAACTACAAATGTAAATTTCACAATATCTAGGTCTGCATTTAGAAAGAAATGAGAAACTTAGGCACACATTTACAGTGGAACTTAGCTTCTAAACTGAGATGTTACTGAAACATGTCTAAGTCTGGGAACACAAATATTTACTTCTCTGCCCTTCCCAAGTTTTCCATTACAAAATTCCTTAAGAACCTCAAGTTTAATTTCTGCAAATCCTAGATATTGCAGGTATTTTGATACAATTGAGAAGCATAAGAGTTTTTTCTCACCTAAGAACTTCAGGAATTTGAAGCAAACTGTCTTTCTACCTGCCCCATCTGATACGTTTCCTAATGTAGGAATACCAGCATTGAATACAGTAACAGGAGAGATCTCTGTCCAAAATAGGACAGCTGAGGATGGTCTGAAGTTGAGGCAAGGAGGAAATACTTGTAACTGGATGAAATCAAAAGTTTAGCATGTCAACCTAAATTCTTTTTGTCCTGTCCAACATCACCAAGGCAGTTGTTTAAAAACATACAGCTTTAGTAATAAGGATGAAGAGTTTTTCTACTCCACAATAACCTTTACTCAGGTGATAGGGTGTTCTTCCAGAGATGATGAAATCTGCTTTCTATCCACTTGGCTTGCATGGCAGGGTTCTGGGCACGAGTAACCTCCCCCACCATTGTGGTATTTTTATAAAAGTGACCTCTGCTCTCTGTCATGAACAACTGAAGGTGCCTAACTCAAGGAGGCTGTTCCAGAGTATGAAAGCTTATCACGTATGGTGGCCTCTTGCAATACAAAGTTAGATGTAACTAACTTTGTGGATTTTGGATAGCTATGGCAGCCCAAGTCATTGTGCTGGCAGTTGCAAATCTCTTTTGGAGGCACTCGGCTCCTCTCTATCTAGTATATAAAAAGACGAAGCAATATCTTGGAGCTGTAGATTCCATTCCAGCAGCCAAGTACCTCCAAGTTAGGTGTTATAACACTGAATGTTGCAATACCAAAGTCTGTCTCTGGATCTAATTCTAGCTGTTTTCTCAAGCTTATATTTTTAATCGGAACAGGAGGCAAAAGCCAGTGCTCTCACAGATGGAAGGAATATGTTTTTAAAACCTCTATTCCAGTATTTCTCACAGAGAATGGTTAACTTAGAAATGAACATTGGTTCAGCCTAATAAACATGAAGAAAATATTTGTGTGACATTTGTGAATAGACAAAATTGAGGCACAGTAATGTGACAACTTGTGTATCGTACAAAACATGTTTTGATTTGTAGGTGTATCTTGAGTGTTTTCTGTGAACTTCTTTGCTGTAAAATTTCAGATATATGTTAAACCTTTTAGGATTTACCCAGTTTTTGTTTTAAAACTCAGGAAGAAAAGTATTATCAGTATCAGTTAAAACTGCACACTTAACCACTTCTAGCTTCAACTCCAGTAACTGAGCTTCAGGTAGAATGTTGCAGCTAAAGCGACCAAACTTTGGAATACTGAGTGCTGCCCTGGCAACTTTCCAGGCACCTGGAGGCTGCAACCAATTTGCATTTTGATTTACATAAACACTAATATCTCCACCTCCTCTTTTCTGACATTTTTTAGCATTTCTCTTGCTTAACTATCACATAATTTACTTGTCTTCTATCACTTCATTCCCTTTTCTTTTACTCCTAATTTTTTAATGTTCTTATAAAAATGTTAAGTATTAAACTCCTTTCTAATGCTGAAGTTTTTTCTTTGTTTTTCCTTTCTTTGGGCTTCCCACCCTTCTTTTTTCTTGAGCTTTCCAAGGTCTCCATTCTCTCGCAACCTTTGGGATTGATCTGTATGCTTTCCACACCCCCCCCCCGTTTCCTTATCTTTATTTTAATTTCCTTTCCTATAATACACAGAGCCTTAGTGCTTCTGTGATGCTTTAAAGTGGTGGAGCCATGAACCTGCAGGGCAGTCAGTGTTCCCTGTTAAGATTTTCAATGATGACTGTCAAGTTTTTTGCAGGACTAAAGAAAATGGAGGTATGTAGTATGGTGAAGTCTTATCAACTAGGAGAACAGACATATGTCACGTCTATGGCATTTCAGTATTCTCTGCTGCCAGCTGCAAAGGAATAAACTAGTGGTGCCTATATGGAGAAAAAGATATTAAAAGGTTTAAGTTGCATTTGCTCTATATTGTATGCTGAGAATATTTAGAATTCTCTTTGTTTCTTGCCTCCCCCCATCATTTTCCCTGCAACTTCCAGGCTGGAGCTATGACGTTGAGGAGAAGAAGATTCCAAAACCTAAATTCAAGTCTTACGGTGCAAACTTTTCCTGGAACAAAAGAACAAGGGTGTCTACAAAATAGGTTGGCATTGGCTGTCTGACTGTGAATAAAGTCAGCTGTGCTATATTTATAGTCCATGTATAATACATCTCTTAATCTCCTAATAAATTTGACCTTTAAACTACAGATGCATCTTGTGATGTCTATTTAAAATGTTTTTGATGTCTCCAATTGAACCTGTTACAAACTTCCCTATAAATAGAGGAGATTTGGATTGTTCATACTTCTAAAAAATCGCTGTACTAGGAATCTATCAAAAGGAATGTCTGAAATCAGCTGCAACTTTAAAGATTATGGTTTATCTTTGATGGTATTTTTATATTCACTATCTTGTTTAAACTTATCAGCCTTGTATATACAAATTGTCTCAACAGAAGCTGGGTTTTTTTCTTTCTGTACAATTTTGTCAATTGAAGGGCAAAGTATGATACATAAAACTTAACATTTGAATGTAACTTAACTGTTCTGTATAAATGTATATTATATGACCTCCTTTCTGCCCAAATTATTATTGTCATTATTCCAGAATCATTCATGACTGGAATAGAAGGCACTGGGTTTTGTGTTGGGTATGTGGGAGGTTTAGTCCAAAAGATTGAGATTGGAGTTTTTTCTCTGTGATATTCTTCAAAAGTTAAACAAACCACTTAAATATTCACAAATTAAGTCAGAAGAGCGTCAGGTGCCTCACACAGCATCAACATATACTGATTATGTAATTATAGTTCTGGGCTTTTTTATTGCTAGTTCCATGTTTATCTGCATTGAGGTTTCCTGTTGCCTAATAGAAGAGGTGATAGCATCTCACCTTAACTTTGAATATATTGCCTGACCTTAGTTCATTTTACGTGACATTAAATGATTAATTTTAATAACGCACAATATTATGTTTTGAATCCTTAGTTACGTATCTATGATTTTTGATTTATTCACTTTAACTTTTAGTTAACAAATTGAGATATCAATACATGGTCAGCGAAATCTGTTACAAACTGGGGGAGTGCACACTTTTTTTCATATGCAACTGAGAGTTTTATCCCAACTGTCACAAAAGAAACAATTGAGACCCCTTTCTCCACATAGATCTAAAAAGTTTATGTAGGTGCTATGCACTGAATTCTAGCTAAAAAGCAAAAAACTACCTCGTGTTGCCCAGATTTGATTATATTCTTGTTTCAGTTTTAACCAGCAGCCTGATATGCTGGCTAGCATTTTTTTAAAGCATTGTTTTTAACCCAGTTTCAGTGTAATCAACCAGTTGCCTGATGTCGCTGTTTTCCTATCACAGACAAGAATTGTTATTCCAGTTCATCTTCCTATTGAATTTTAAACGCTGCATTATGCAGTCGAGCCTAAAGTCCTCCAGGAACACCAAAGCACACCAAGCTGTAATCTTAAGAGTCCAGAATCTACTGCATCTCTTTGTATTTCAGCTAAGCTTAATATGCTGATCTTAAGTAAGGAGACAGTAATAAGAAAAGCCATTTGTTGTTTTTTTTTTTTACTTCTGTCTTTTACAAGTGAAGAGCAGCAAGATATTAATTTAATGGTCTTTGAGCTTTGTAAGATTGTCAGCATTAAAATTGAGAAGTGCTTGGGTATCTAATGCAGCAGATGCACAGCGTGGTTTTTGAAATGGTGTGGTCCAGGGATATGACTGATAAATGTTTACCTAACATTATCTTTGGACACCTAGTATATTAAATTGCTATATGTCAATCTATACTTGTAATAACTGGAATCAGTTTCACAAAGAGTGCAGTTTCTGTTTTTTTGTTTCTTCTGCTAAGATAATGGAAATATTCAAAGCGGAATTCATTAAGCATTAAGAAAGCTTTCTCCTTTTTTTTTTTTTTTTTAATGACTATGTTCATTATGTTTCTGTACTGTGCACCCCATCCTGAAGTCTTTAAGTTGTGTTTGAGCCCAGACCTTTGTTTCCTCTGATCACTTTCCTAGGACTTGGATTTTTTTCTCCTGTTGAACGACTTCTTAAGAATGAACATGGTGACAATGGAAGAGAGTTGCTTTGGCATCGCTATAGTCTTCAAACCCTAGAAGTGAAATTGAGTGCAAGAGCTTGCAGAGGACCGGTGCCAACAGGAATATATACTTGAGAGATCAAAAAATCTATTAGATACTAAACTTCATTACCCTTTCATTAACTTATCAGAATACTACAGAACTAGGCTGGAACTGAAGTTGTACAAGATGATCTGACCATCTTTAGTTAAGTACCTTTAGAAGTAAATGTTTCATTGCTGGACTCCAGCTTTTATCTGTTCTGCAGTGTGTTATGACAGTGTTCCATTGCTCCCAAAGTTTAAAGCTCCCAAACAAACAGAACACGTTCTTTACCCATTGGGATTTGCATGCATCTGAGGTCTTACCACCTTACACGGCAATAACAACCAAAAGGGTAGCACGCCAGCATTGCAGAAGAACATTGCATACATGTTTCATTGGCATTAAAGAATAAAGTACTGAGCTGTGTAGATTTAAGAAGTTTTATTTACAGTTCTGTAGCTTCCATGATTGTGGAAAGTCTTATGCAAAAAATTAACAGGCTAATCTGAAGTGCTTTACATGTGGACTTGTGTAGAACATTGTGTGAAGTTCTGGAGGCAGAACTCTGCTACTGGACAAAGTAATTTCCCAGTTATAAGCAAATTATTCCATAGTATCACCAGTTTTCTGAAAAAGGCTTATTAGTTGTTATTGCTGTCTCAGCCAGCTACATTTTGCAACGAGACTTGGATTGTTCCTATCAAGTCTGGATGAAAGTTCCTTCTTTTAAGAAAGAAGAAACATCATAATTTTTTTCTTTCATATGTTTCTACTCTTTACTCCCATCAGCTCTACAAAGCATGTCTTACATGTTTACAAGACTTTTTAATGTCTGTTGACCACATGAAAATTTTCCATCATGAATTTTGAAAAGTTGGCCACTGCGGTACTATAATTTCTGTTAAAAGCAGGAA